TTTCCTTTTTTTTTTTTTTTTTTTGGAAGACATGCCGACCTTCAAATAAGTTTACAGTTGTCCAGTTTAGTTTATGTCCAGTAAAACTAAAACTGAGAAAAACTTTGTCTTACGATACTGTATGTGTAGCATCTCTTCTAGATTCAGAAAATTAGGACTTGGTGAAGAAAAAGAAGGAAAAAGAAGGAAAAAGAAAGAAAAAGAAAGAAAAACTGGACATTTATTCATTACTGTGAGGAAAAGCACCAAACTGGCAGAAACACAAAAGCTTAGGCAGTCTGTTACAGAAACTAGTAGCAGAGAACCCTAATTCGGCTCCTAGGGCACCTGAAACAAAAGAGGGGAGAACAGCACAGGATGCTCTCAGCTAATAGGTCGTGGGAAGCTTCTGGGAGGCACGGCCATGCAGAAAGCCTGGATACGGACACATACACACACAGACACGTGCGCGCAGGCACGGAGGGCACCTTCGGCCAGGGCTCCCTTGCACGCACAGAGGAAAAGCGAGGCGGCAGGGGCAGCTGCGGGCCCGGCGGCGGCAGGGGCAGGCAGGCGGGGCGGGCTGTACCTTTCAGCCGCAGGTACTTGACTTGGCTCGGCCGCTGCTGCAGCTCCCGGAGGGCGCGGGAGCGGGCGCTGCCCGAAGGGGCGGCCGCCTCGGCGGCGCTGTACAACTCGGTGAGCAGCCCGCTCACAAGCGACGAGGTGCGGCTGGACCGGCCGCTACCAGGACCCGCCTCGTCCTCGTCCTCCTCCTCCTCCTCCTCGGCCAGGCTGTCGGCGCTGCTGCCCGCCCTGCCACCCGCGCCGGCCTCCGCCGCATCCATGTTCCGCCGCCGGGTTCCGGGCTCGGCCCGTTCCACGGTCACACGCCGGGGTGGGGCGGCCAGGGGAAAGGGAAGCGGACGGGAGAGGCCGGGCAGGAACGCCGCGCCCGGCTCCGCTCCCTCCCCGCGCACCGTGGTAGAGGCCGGGGCGGGGGCGCTGCACCTGCCGAGGGGCGGGGGGGTGGGGGCCTCGCTCCGCCTCGAGGCGGTGACACCGGGAGCGGTGACACCGGACGCGGTACCCGTGCACTGTGCGGCTGTCACGGAGGTCACCACCGTCCTGACTGCCGGCCGTCCCGCTCCTGCTACCCCGCTGGAGGGGCGGCCCGGTTTTGCCAGCAATTCAGTACCTATGCTGTGGCCGGTCCCCGTGACACCGCCTGCAAGCCGGAGCGGATGGCGGGCTCCGCACGGCCGCCAGAACCGGGGGCGCCTGGGCTCTGGCTGCGGCACCGATGGCGCTGCAGGGAAGCCCGGCCACACGCGTAACAGCCGCGATTAATTCAGGTCGGGAATCGACAGAATCACAAAATGGGTAAGGTTGAGTGTTACAACCTCCCTGCTCAGGCACACCCCAGAGCACATTGCACAGGACAGCGTCCAGACAGTTCTTGAATATCTGCAGTGAGGAAGGCTCCACACCCTCTGGGGGCAGCCTGTTCCAGTGGTCAGTCACCAGCACAGTAAAAAAGCTCTTCCTCATGTTCAGGTGGAACTTCCTGTACATCAGTCTCTGCCCGTTGTCTCTTGCCCTGTTGCTTGGTTGGGATGACCATTCTTCTACCGAGAATAGCTGGCTCCATCCTTTCGGCACGCCTCCCGTGGATGTTTACCCACCCCTCAGGAGCGGAGCGCGCAGGTCACGCTTGGGAGGCGCCTCCGCGCGCAGCCATGGGCGGGGGCGGGGCCTGGGGCGGGGCCGCGGCTGCCGCCCGGGCCACGTGACTCCGCCCCCCGCTGGCGGGTCATATGCCGGGGGCGGGGCGGGCCCGCGCGCTGCTGCTCGGGCTCCGCGGCCGCTCCGCGCCTGGGGCGCCCCCGCCATGTCCCCGTCCGCGCTGCTCCGGGCGCTGCCGCTGGCCGCGCTGCTGCTGCTCAGCCCGGCGCGGGCGGTCCGGCAGGCGCGGAGGCCCAACGTGGTGCTTATCCTCACCGATGACCAGGACGTCTGCCTGGGCGGCATGGTAACCCTGTGGCGGGGGGCGCGGGGCTGGCGGCGGCGCGGCCGGGGGGCGCTTCGCCGCCCGCCGGGTCGCGTACCTGGCTGTCAGACGCCGAAACCGAGCTCGGCGGGCTCGGTGTGGGGTCGAGGTCTCTCCGGCCGTGGGGGTCGTCGCGCTGGGCCCAGCCTGCAGCCGGGCAGGGTCTCACTGCGGCCTCAGGCCAAGCAGCCCTGCGAAAGGAGCGTGGCGGTGGGGCTTCCGCGGGTGGGATGAGCCGCTCTGCCGAGCCGGCGGGGCTCGGGTGGGCCGGGGCCGCTGCTGGGGCCTCTCTAGAGCAACCTCTGCCGCTGCAGATACCTCTGGAAACTCCCCGCACTTGTGCTCTCTTGGGCCGGCTTGTGCAATCGCTGTGGCCCCGCCAGGCCCTAGCGATACGGGAAGGGCACTCTTGAGTGTCTTGCCGTGGTGGTGTTGGGCCTTCTTCCAGTTACAGCGCTTCAAGTCCCTGGCTTTACCTGGCATCCTTGCATTTTTAGCTGATGCCCTTCTGGTGCTTTCCTTTCAGACCCCCCTAAAGAAGACTAACGCTCTCATTGCCCAGATGGGAATAACCTTTGTAAACGCAGTAAGTGTTTGCGTTAATGCTCTGAACTTCTGAGATGTGTGCATTTATGTATTTTGTATCGTATATTATGTGAGATCTCAAAAAATTGTATCAGTTTTGTGAAACCTGTAGACATGGATGTGGGGTTTTTAAAATTCAGTTGCTACCTACTTTTAGGTCTCAAAATTAATATAATTTAAGGTCATGTTCGAAATCTGTGAAGTTTCACTTTCTGAAAGCACTTATGCTCACTTCCTTAATCTGTATGCTAAAACTGCGTAGTCTGAATATTCCTATTACAAACTGCGAAGTGTCAAAAGCTGCTCAAAACTTTCATCAGCTTCATGCACAATGAAAAGTCACTTCACTCTTTTCATTTTCTGCTGTATCTCCATGGCTAAAACAACAGAGTCAATGATCAAGCAGTATTTAGTGGGTTCTTGCCCTATCTAAAAACCGTGTCCAGTATGGTGGTGAGAAGTTGAAGGACATATGCTGCAGAGACCTGAAAGTGGCTTCATGAGCAGCTTTTCACTAGTGAAAATATTTGGGATATAATTCGGGGTGTCCTGAAGGAAGTAGGTTTTACTGTTGGTGAATATATTAATCAACCTGTTAGCTGATATTTGAAAACTATAAATTTTGACATAAAATGGTGTTACTATCCCAGTCTTAAATCTCCTCATTCTGTTTTTTCAGTATGTCCCCAGTGCACTTTGCTGTCCCAGTCGAGCTAGCATTTTAACAGGAAAATATCCACATAATCATCATGTTGTCAATAACACCCTGGAAGGGAACTGTAGCAGCAAGTTATGGCAGAAGATTCAAGAACCATACACATTCCCAGCGCTGCTCAAAGCTATGTGTGGTTATCAAACGTTCTTTGCTGGAAAGTATTTAAATGAGGTATTTCTTGTTCTTTATTTATTTTATTTTTTTGTGGTTTGTTTGAACAGTTAGGTGTCCACTGAGGCAAATTTATCTGGAGGACAGATATTTTCAATGTTCTTCTACAGCAGTTACCCAATGCTTTATTATTGAGTCACCTGTATATGTGTGGTTTATATTTTTGTCTTTTAAGCTAGGTTATAGTTTCTAGTAGTTCATAGTAAGATGTAAAAATCAGCACTGAAAGCTGCAGGCTGGGTGTTCCTCTTGTGTGGTAGAATTGGATTAGGAGGTAAATGAGCTGCAGGATTCTTAACAGCATGTTTCCTTTGCATCTCATGGTGGAAAACCGTGGTATAATTAAACAATGGAAGGTGAATTTTCATAGCCAGACACGAGTTTGTGTCTGCTGATGTTACTGAGGCAGCAAGGGGAAGGGAAACTCAGCTGGCTTTCCTCTGAGCATCCCTTGACTCAGCAGAGTCTTATGCCTGCAGTTAGGCGAGCCATGTAGATGGGAGAGGGCTGCCCTGAGAAAACCCATTGTGTTGCTCTAAGGCACCCTCTGTTTTGAATTTGGCACTGACTCAGCAGCTACTTTCCCTATTTTGCTGTCTTAGAGGCTAGTTGTTGTTGATTATTTGGCAGTGAGGTGGCAAGAGGCTAACATTACTTGAAGTTCCTCCCGCTGTTGGGGGAGGATGAAGGAAGCTGTTGGTCTGTGTGAAATTCTCTTTAGTATCTTGTGAATTGTTATCATGAAGCCTGCAAGTGTCTTGTCACATGGATGTTTTGATCAACATTTGTTATTTGATGATGTACGCTATGTTCTCCAGAATCTCTGCATATTTTCACACACAGAATGGAGCAGGGAGTAATATTGAAATTTTATTGATGGTTGCTTTCAGTTACTGTCTAGTTATTGTACCCTGGTTTCTTTAACGGGCCCTACATGGGTTTTTATATGCATATACATATGTGGTTTTCTGAAATTGAATTTGGCTTAACATGGTTTCTGAGCAGTGTTGAATAAAGCACATGAATATGAAACATGTCTAGCTTTGATTCATCATAACTGAAACTGTGAGTCATGATCTCTCTTTTTTCAGTATGGAGCAGAGGATGCAGGGGGAGTAGGTCATGTCCCTCCTGGATGGAGTTTTTGGTATGCTTTGGTATGTGACTTTTTTTTTTAACAACTTTATTGCTTTATAATCCAACTCATGTTCTAACTTTGCTGGTCATGAAAGAGCAGGAAAAGAGCATCTAATGATTTAATGCAAATTTTCTTCCCCTTTTTCCTCTGTTGTATCTATGGCTTTTACAAGGGCTACTCCTACTGAGTGCCTGGAGAAAATAAAACAATTTATACAGCCAAAGAACTGTGAGATAGCACTAAAACCAGTTTTGCTGATGGAGACCACTTCTGAGAATTTTTGCAGTATCCCTGTGGCAAATGCTCATAACCTATTAGGCAAATGCTTGTAGACAAATAATTTGGATTATTTCAAGTAATCAATGTATATGTTGCTTTGCATAAGTATCTTGGGTCCCTTTTCTTTTTCACAGGAGAAAAATTCAAAGTACTACAACTATACTCTCTCGGTAAATGGCAAAGCACGAAGGCATGGCGAGAACTACAGTGTAGATTATCTGACAGATGTCCTGGTAAGAAATTTTGCAATGCATGGTACAGAAGCTGCTTATGACCAGATAGTGCCTCGCGCTGGGGACTTGGGAAAGGGTGAGATAACTTGTTAGGCTGTATTAGTTCACAAATGGACACTTGTACTGCTGTGAGGGTAGGTGGGCATTTATCTGCAAAGCAAGACTCTGAGTATATTTAGAAATGACAGGTTTATGTTTGAGCTGTGGAAAGGAAAGGCATTCCAGCTGGCCATTTGCTAGCCAGTAGCCTCACTGAGGAGTTAATACTGACTGCTGTGCTGCAGGAGGAACAGGTAGGCAGAGATTTAAATTACTTCAATCAAGTATATGTTTCATTATAATATGCAACTTCTGTAACAGATTAACTGGGCCGAGGTTTTAGTAGGAAGCATGTAAAAATAAACTTCGCACCATGTTTTGTTTCTTACATATTATGATGTGTTGCTATCTTGTAGTCTGTAATTCGATCAGTCTGATAACTTGTAAATATTAAAGCCTAACCATTCCTTGATAGCATATGAGGGCAATGTATAGCTCGCTGATCCGAGAAGATTTTAGCCTCTTTAGCTGCATAAAATAAAGAGAGGTAAAAATGGCAGATAGTTTAAGGAAGGTTGGAAGAGTTAGTTTAGCTCTCTTAAGGCCCTATTTGGCAGGTAGCAGGGGCAGTGGGCAAGGGGGAAATGTCCCCCCGTCTGCCAAGCTGGGGTCGTAATTTGAGGTGCTGGTACAGCGTATGGGTTTGTACTGTGTTACAGCGTATAGGTTAGCACTCA